AACGACAATAAAGTGTCATCTTTCACTAGTCAGAATGGCTGTAAGTCTAAAGAACAAAAGAAAAAAGAAATCATACAGGTGTTGGGAAGGATGTGGAGAAAAGGGAATTCTGTACAGTGTTGGTGGGAATGTAAATTAGTGCAACTTCTCTGTAAAACAGTACAGATGTTTCTCAAAGAACTGAAAGTAGTCTCACCATTCAATCCAGCAATCTCACTTCTCAGTATCTACCCAAAAGAAAAGAAATCAATATATAAAAACATACCTGCACTTGTATTTTTATCACAGCACTATTCACAATAGCAAAGACATAGAATCAATTTAAATGTCCATCAATGGAAAAGTAGATAAAGAAAATGCGGTATATATTCACAATGAAATGCTATTCTTCTGTGAGAAGAATGAAATCATGTCTCTCTTGCAGCAACATGGCCATTATCTTAAATGAAACCACTCAAATACAGAAAGACAAATACTTCTAAGAAGGTGCTAAATGATGTGTACACATGGAAGCAGAATTAGAATGATGGATGATGCAGATTCAGAGAGGTAGGAGGGTGAGTGTTAGGGGTGAAGGATGGGAGGTTACTTGGTGAGTACAATGTATATTGCTTCAGTAATGAAAGCACCGAAGACCCTGACTTCACCACAATGCAATATATCAGTGTAGCAAAATTGTACTTGCACCCCCTTAGTATATTTAAATAAAAAATAAATGAGAAAAAAGTAAACGTGAAGAAGTGGAGAGAGGATGAGTAGGTGATTTGCCTGGTGTCTCACATGTGTCAGTAGCAAAACTATCATTATAATCAATTCTTGGATTCCACCTCAAACTATATTGTCATGAAAGATGAGTTGTTTTTTTTTTTAAGTAAATTACATTCCATTAGTTATCAAGTTTATAGATTGGGTAGCTCAAACAGGATTTTGCACAGTCTTATTTTCATGATTAATGCAACCCATAGAAGATAAGATACAATGATTTCAGCAAAGACTAACACTAAAATTTTATGTTTGGGCTACTGATATTCTCTGCTCTACATTCAATATGTCAATAGTCAGAAACTGATTAAATTTGATGAAGCACTTGATTAGGAGCAGAGTGCATGTGATAATTTCAAGAGAATAGACTGGGCACAGTTTAGGGACCCACATGGTTACAGAGGCAATAAGGTTATCCAAATGTTTGTTTCTTGTTCCATCTATCTTCCTAAAGCAGCACCTTGCAAATAAGAGGGAGAAGGCCAAGTTCACATACCCTGTATTGCATGCTATCATCCTGAGTATATCCCAGATTACCACTAATCTGATAAAATTAGGACACATTAGAACAAATGCTGTTTTCGTTGCATAATGTTGTAGGATTTATACAATGCCTCATATGTGTCTAAATTGAACCTCATGATAACATCACAAAGTAGAAAAGTGTAATCTATGGATTGTATCAATCCTTTATCCCTCTGTGAATCCACACCCTTATGCCATGTGTCTTTGCAATTCCTCTAAGAAACATGAGTCTGTTCCCTAGCACTTTCATTCTGAAATCAGCCACATGACTTTTTTAGCCAGTGGCGTGATCATGCATGAGATGTGCGCAGACAGACTCTTACAAGGGGGTTTACAAAATTTCATTTACTCTCTTGCTTTCTTGCCATGGCCATGATAACATACTCAGGCTAAACTAGAAGAACAAAAATCAGGCAATTTGTTCTGTAAAGACCTCATAGTAAATATATTTAGTTTTGTAGGCCACATGTTCTCCACTGCAACTACTCAACCTGCCATCATGAGACAAAAGCAGTTATAGAAAATATGAAAATAAATACCACTGTGTTCAAAAAAAGCCTTATTTATAAAAATAGCCAATGGGCTGGATTTGGTCCACAGGCCAATGTTTGCTGAACATTATACTGGAGGATAGAACACAGGGGATAGAAGTGAGTTGCCCGAGTAATTCTAGTTGAGATCATTCTAAATGAGCCAGACATCAGCCAGTTTCCAGATAGATGAACCCACATACCACCTAGCAGAACGGCCTGGCCCTCCTGCAACTTACAGCTGACTTATCAGCAAACCCAGTCAAGATCAGCTCAACCCTGCAGTATGGACAAAGCAATTGAGTCATGGAATGATTTTGTTATGCAGAATTATCACAGTGAGAGACTAGTAACACAATAAGGAAAGTATTAATTTTGCCATTTTAGAATTAAAGATGGGACTTAAAGTCTGGGGTGTCTCAGGCAGCCCAAAACTCTCAGAGTGAAGATGCAGATATAAGTGCTGTTCTGTTCACTATACCAAACGGCTTCAATCCTTTTCTCTTTATTTTGGGTTGTTTTGTTTAGACGTACTATGAGATAGAGATACAGCTATGCATGATTTAGGCTAAAACATTAAGAACTTTAGGCAGCATCTAACTCACTGCTGATTTCCCTCTTAGCTTTTAGCCATTAAAAAATCATCTCGCCCTGGCTTCAAGTGTAGACTGTTTTCTTTATTTACTAATGCGGATCTCTTTGCAGTGTGTTGGAGTCTGTATTGTCCTGGTTCATATTTTCCAAAACTTCAGTAAAAGGAAATAACTTAAATGGTCTACTCTTACACACAGCTCCTATCCCTCCATTTTACGGCTCACATTTTATGCAGGGCTGTCAGGGTTTTCTGAATTAAATGTGACTTAGGGCCTGCGCTTGCTGACTGAGGAGGCTCATAGGTCCTATAGCTCATCCACAATCTTGTACTTGAGCTGTCAGGTATGAGAGATTGGTGCCAAATTCAACCCAACATAGCCCCTTCCCAGTAGTCTGCCTTTGACAACTCCTCCTTGTCAAACCCAACAGTTTACATAGAATATATAGTGAATAAAGTATCCTGAAAGGTACGAATGTAGAGGTGCTGCTTCGGCTGATGGCAGGAACACCTATCAGCTTCCCACAGGGCTGACATTTCAGGCTGGCAGCGGGGAGATGATCATAGGATTTTTGTGCTGCTGTTTCTAAATGGATTGTAAAGACTCCCAAGGCAAATGCCTCACTTCTTACCATCTACCCCCGTGAAGAGTCAGTGCGATGCCACTGTGCAACTCAAAAAACTTTTCTTTTTGGTTTTGTGAATGGTATATGAAGCCCATCTGGGTTTTTTTTTTTAATATATAACACACATTCAATATCTATGTAAATATACGCAGAGGGTGCCAAAAAATGTATACACATTTTTAAAAAGGGAAAGAACTGTATTAAAATTATAATACTCAGTATATCCCCATACCAAAAGATGAATACAAGTCACATTGGCTCCCTTCTTGTAATCGCAGAAATTAAGAGTTACTTTTTTTTTCCTTTCTCAAAATGTGTATTTTTTTGGCACCCTCTGTATTTGCCCTTGCTACAACGACTCTGATAACGCTTACACATTTCCAGTCCCTTTGGAGAGTCACCAAACCCTTCCCCAAAACTCCCATCCCTGCTCCAGATGATACCTCTATGAAAGGTACGTAGAAATATCTTGATTTTGGCAGAAGGATCCTGACTGACTTGTGATAGAGCTGGGTTAGGACAGGTAGTAGGGAGAGAGCAAGGCATGAGAGCAGGGAAATAGTGACATTTGGAGCGGTTAACAGGTACCTAATTGCTAAGCCTCTATAATGGTTATCACCGGTGACGGTATCATCGTGCATATGTTTGTGTGTGTGTGAATGTGTATGTGTACATCTGTATACTCTAATGTAAATGCAGACACACACACAAATAAACCACAGTCTTTCTTTTCAAAGGGTGCTAATTAAGTGTCAAAAACCACATCCATCCTACTTTTAAAATTAGGACAAAGAAATTGTGCAGAATTCTTCATAGTCAATTAACCGATAACTTTTGTTGATGTAACTTAGGAAACCTGAACTATTACGCGGCGCCTTTACTCTTCTGTGGCAAACCTAAATGATTCATGAGTAATACTAAAAGTACCACTTAATACATAATTAAAGACCAATCAAAATACGAAAAAGAAAATTCATAGCTAATATAAATGGGATGACAAGATAAATAATGATATTCTAAAAGTTCACCCCTTGTTTTAAAAGTTGATGTGCACATAATTCCATTTAAAAGTCTAAATTTGTGTGTACGTTTGTAGGTTTGTGTATATATATGTATATTTCGCAAATTCTTACATTTATCTTTTTATGTAGAAACCACACTGAGCATCTCTGGGTACTAAACTCACTGGGTGAAGTTTGTAGAGAACAGCATATGCACATAGTCTCGATTTATTACTCTAACTATGATTACAAAGAGAAGAAGATACCTTTATAATGGACAAATCTGGTTGATACTTACTCAATTAATCAAAGTTAACATCACCAATAACAAGGCAGACATCATTTGCCTACTGATGTGTTGTAATGTGGAACCCGCACCACCAAACATCTTTATTTCTAAATCTAAGAATAAGAAAATATTAGGCAAAACAAATTCAAAATAAGGGTCGTTCTGTTAAGCAACTGGCCTGTACTCTTCAGAAACAAAAAGTCAAGGTCATTTGAAAAAAGCAAAAGCAAAGGAACTCTTACATTTTAATGAGAACTAGATGATAACAGAAGGCAATGCATGGTCCTTGTTTGATTCCTGGACTAAAGCTAAAGCAGTTCTAAAGGCTGCTACTGGGAAAATTGGGGAACTCTGAATAAGGACTACATACATATTAAATGCTATTGGATTAATATTAACTTTCTTGGCTGTGATAATGGTATTGTTGTTAGATGGATATTATCTTGTTCATTGGAGAAAAATGTTGAAGTGTTAAGGGGAAACATCATGACATCTGCAACTTACTTGTAAAATGTTCAGAAAAAAAAAATAAATAAAGAGTGAAGAACCACAAGCAAACGTGCAAAGTGTTAACAGACGATGAGTGTAGGTGAAGCGTACCCAGAGGATGACTGCACTAGTTTTCAACTTCTCCATAACTGGAAATTTTGAAAATAAAAAGTTGGAAAAAATAAGACCAAGCAAAATTATCCTTTATTTATTACATCTGTCCATTTCAGCAGTTTTGAAGTATAGTGTTGAAACTTCATATGTTCAAATACGAAATGCCAAAAGCTACAAATTACAACGAAATCAAAATTTACAACAAAGTATTTTAAGAATAAGAAAAAATACTTAAGAATTATTATGTTTATTTTCTAGTACAAGCATAAAATGAGAATACAGGATACTGGTGGTGCTACTACTCAAGTGAGTTTCCTCAATTCTTTTTTTTTTTTTTTTCAGTTTTTTGGCCGAGGCTGAGTTTGAACCCACCACCTCTGGCATATAGGGCTGGCGCCCTACTCCTTTGAGGCACGGGTGTTGCCCCAATTCTTTTTTTTTTACAATTTCAGATTAATATGGGGGTACATATGGTAAGGCTTCCACTTAAAAGTTTTCCCCAGTTCTTAATTTCTCGGCTCCCTTCCTGCCTAAAATCTAACAAAGTATTCGTTATAAATTGTGAGTACAAAATTCTTAAAACACCAGTTGGACAATGGCTTGGATGATTCTCTTTACAGGTACAATTTATTTTTCAGCAAACTGTAAGCCATGGAAATAGTAACTCCGTAGCCAACAAAGAAAGCCAAAGCTCTATTTGGCTGGGGTAGAGGTGTCAGATAGGCGATTGTGTGGTAGATCCGTGCTCCAAGAAAGAGTCTGAAGTGCAGGAGGGCTGTAGAAAGATCTGGACCGCTCAGGGAATACAGAAGGCCGATACCAAGAAATGGAACGATATTTTCAAGGTCATTCAAGTGGGCTCTGTGGGAAACGATGACATTAAAGACACGAATTTTAAAATCAGCAGAAATATATTCATGTTTCCCTCCCTTCTAAAACTAAATATAAGTGCTAATGGAGCTTTAAATTGCAAACTGAGATTCATTTTTTTCCCTCCTCTCAGACTGCCTGGCTTCCTTACACGCTCGACTTTTATTTAGAATGTCTCATTAATTTTGTTTCTTTTTATTTTTGGTGCTGTTATGTTTAAACGTAACAGACAAGGTAGTTTTTGGTTTCTAGATACCAAAACTGCCTCTGTCTAATAAAACTCACTTCATTTTTGTAAATATGAAGTATTTGCCCTTCTGGGATTCATAACAATTATTAACGCAAGGTTCATCTTATAAAAGTTCTTTCTCCTAAAAAAAGAAAATCCTTTTGGTGACGAACTTTCTTAAGATGCTTTATTCACATATGCTACCCTACAAAATGATTATTGAGAGAGTCCGTGCCACCTCAAGCCATTTGGTTGTCAAGAATTAATTCACTAACTAATATAAAGAATCTGAAGCTCTTACAACCACATAACAGAACACACAACTAGCCTTTGAAATAAAATGGGTAAAACTT